CAAAAAGGCCAAGTGTCTGTCTGGGGGAGCAGACTGCCTCTTCAGCCACTGCATTAAAAATCTCATTTGATCTCATTCCCACTGCTGACAATTAGACTTTTTTTTTTTGCTCCTTTCGTTTTTTTTTTTTTTGCACTACTGCACAGAACGCAAACAAGTCAGGAACGAAAGTCGAGAGTGGAGAGTGCCCGGCAGCCCCGCCTACGATGGGAAAGCTGATGCCACAACGAACTGAATTAGAACCGACAGCCGTCGGCTCCGCCGCCGAAGGTTATCCAGGCTGCGTTTAATAGGCTGACAAAAATCCCCGTCAAGGATTACAGCACAAGCCGGATGGCTGCGGAGGGCGTGGCAACGAGGCACTCGTCTAATAAACCACATGTAAAAACACGAATGTTACTCAAAATATAAATGACAACAACCATGGCGTGGTAACGCAGCAGCGGCTATTGTTTAAAATACAGCTGGTAAATTAATCTTTAAATGCATAATTTGAGGTTTAGCACAAAAAAGATGTAGACAAGAGCATAAAAACTGGCATACGCCGTAAGCTAGATAACAGCCGGCAGATCTCATTGGCCAATGAAAGTCAGGGTGCTGTGAGATGGGCGGCTTTTCTCACACAGAGGGATGGAGGAGGAGGGACAGCACTGCCCGCTCGCATGGGTTCACCGCTAAGCAGACGCCCGCACACTAAGGCGGACCTCACCAGAAAGTTCTTTCTGGTTTTAGGTTTGTGAGAGTCGGGGGGGGGGGGGGGGGGGGGGGGGGGGGGGGGGGGTCGGTGCAGAAACCTCACCCCACAATACTCTGGCCTGGAGCCAGACACCGTGCACAGGGCTACTGACCGCTGCTTTATAGAGCGGGGGCTGATGAGGGCATGTGATGGACTGGGGGGCACAGCGAGGAGCCAGCGTGCTTAATTTAGAAAACAATCAGATTGCAGTGCCTGCTAATTTGGGGAGAGACGGCGGGGGTGCAGCGACTACAGGAAAATAAAGGAATGCTAATCTGCTCATAATGCGCTAATGAGCAAAGGAGAGAGCAGACCAAATGTTTGCTGCGCATAGACACCGCTTAGGGGAGCAATTAAGCGAAGCACCGCCACAGCTCACCCCCCACCCGGGCAGAGAGAGGGGGGGGGGATGGGGGACAGAGGCATGCGCACCAGCCCATTAGTCGTCATGACGACAGGAGGGGAAGATGGGGTCGCAGTACGGCAGGGCCGGGGGAGGGGTGATGGGTGGCGAGCGGGGACAGGTGTATCAGGCAGGTAAATCAGGCCACACACACCCCACCCCCACCTCACACCCCTAACCCCCCAGGGGCAGAAAATACATTTGCCCGAGAACAAACACTCTGCGCTATTAATCACCCGACTGTGTTCCGCACACCATGTGACCTATGTACAAATCAGACCCCTCGGCTGCCATTTTATATTTATTGCTTTTTATTTTTTTATGTGAGGGAACCCTAATCACCTTCCTTCCCCAGACGGCTCCGGGAGGCGGTGGCCATACTGGGGGGCCCAGAAGAGAAGGTTATCAGGCACAGTGAACGTGAAGCCGGCCCTCGGGGCCAGCTGGAGGTGACGAGGCTCGGTATAACTATCACAAACCCCACGGGTGGGCGGGAGGGGCCTGCTACCCCCACACGGTGACGATTTTAACAAGCACACCTTCCCCTCACACCGCAGAACCTTTGTCATGACAAAAGCATCTGAAAGCTAGGCACCAAAACAAAAAGAGGAAAAAATATAGCCAAAAAAAAAACACATGCAGTAAAGGTCACAGCCTTCGGCACCATCAGGCTCCAGCTTCCGCTTCCCCTGGGGGCTACAGGCAACGGCCGCCGGACAGGTCACCGCGGGATTAATTACTGGACCGCCCACTGGCCACACCCACCCTCCAAGCCCTGGGTGCTGCCGTTACGGCGCTACCCCCAGGAGGATTGAGCGAGCGGCCGGTGGGCGGAGACACAGGCATAAATCCAGGCGGAGCCGGCCAGAGCAGCAGCCCGGTAATGGTTTGTTTTTCCGCCGCTCGACCTGGGATAATCCTCCTCGGTGCAGCTCCTGTGTGCCGGCACTGTAAACAAAGACTCCCATGCCGCCGGATGTGGCTAATTTATCAGGGCCTAACGAGGCCCGTGGCAGCTCACCCTCCTCTCACTGCAGCCGGTATGTCGGCCGTTTGTTTTTAAACCTCTGAAGCCATTGTTTTCGGTCGCCGTATGACTAATAAGGCGGGGGGAGAGGGGGGTGCATGTGGCTGGCAGCCAATCACGCATCACGAGACATCGCTAGCGGTGACGTCATATCCGTGCGTCTCTGCTGCAGGTCCAATGGCTCTTCTTGTTGCTAAAGAGGAATCTGTCTCTAATGGCAGGTAACAGCCGTTCACTGACGCTGATTCCGATCCAGCTCGATTTCCCGAGGCACTGCAGATTTGACCTCTGACCCATGCAATGGTCAGAGCCGCACACTAACCCGTCCCACACCACTGCCGGCCCTCAACACAATCGCAGATAAACAACCAGGCAGAATGGCCGCCAATGAGGACCAATCAGGTGACAAATCCAGAGGTTCAGTCGACCGTGCACATGGGTGCACATAAACCACGACCTGTTTCACAAGCAGGGCGGCTATGCGGAAACAAACAGACTCTGTGGGGGTGGGGGGTGTGTCCTGGCGGGCAGGCCACAGCATGTTACTGCTTAGGAACAGGCCGGACAAGACTGCCGTGTTTTCTGACGACGAACATCACAGTCTACGGATTCCACATTCAACAAATCACAGCAGTGCGCAGCTAACACATCTGACCTCAAAGCTGAGTCTAATTACCCAGAATGCAAATCTCTACAGAAACACAACAAGATTAGCACCAATGAAAAGCAGCGGCTGAAAGACCCGTTAGGCCATCTAAAACGCCGAAACCACACCAGTACCGCGGCCTAAATGGCTACCCTCATATTAAGTGTACACACTGGCCGCACTGCCTCTGCGGACATGTTAAACACCTCTGCTCCTCACCACCGGACGGCCTCGGAGCTGGGCCTGTGGTCCGCTGTCCGGCAGAGGGCCCGGAGGCATGTGCTCTCATCCTGGCACGCAGGAGGAGCCGGCCCAGCCAGAGGAGACCTATTAGCAGTCCGGTGTTTTTACATCTGTTAATGCAAGCCTTTCCGGCACGCTTCTGAAAAGGTCATGCCAAATTAAGTGGGCCGAGCGATCAGCTGCACCCGCTGGAATCTAATGAGCTGCCAAAGCGTGGAGATGGAGGGCAGCCAGGGCCAGCCTCCGGCAGCCGGCGCTGGAGGCACCAGCAGGGCTCGTTTTGCATGTGGATGGAGGGAGGGGCGGGCTCTCTGCCACTATGCACACACATCGGGTTTTTCAAGAGCCTCCGGGTTCATCCCCAACCACGGGGGCGGAGATCCTCCGGGTTCATCCCCAACCACGGGGCGGAGATCCTCCGGGTTCATCCCCAACCACGGGGCGGAGATCCTCCGGGTTCATCCCCA